TCGCGAATTCTCTTTGATACGAGCGGCTCTAATAAACAGGAGCAATAATGTCCTGCTCGTTCGTTGCTGTTTCCGCACTATTGGATCCCAGCATTCCCTCTGCTGCGGCTGGTCACACATCTATCATCTGGCAAAATGTGTATAAACGAGGAAAAGAAAGCATCCCTTTCGTCGCTATGTCTACCTCTGCAGCCTTCGTCTATGCTGCCTGCACCGTTCCGAATCCTCTTTCCTTGGAGTCGATTCAACGTGCAAAAAATCTTCTCTTATTTGGTGGACTTTTCACAGTTGGGATCATCCCATTCACACTATTGGTGATGAAATCTACGAACGATGCGCTACATGCAAAGGCCGCGGCAGTACAACGAAGAAGTAAGGAAGGATCAGTGACTCTGTTGGACGATGGGACGAAGGAGTTGGCGCGCACGTGGAATATCTTGAACTTCATTAGAGGACTCTTCCCATTAGCAGGAGCCTTCACGGGAATTTGTGCTATCTTATTCTGATTGGAAAATATGTATGTATGTACAAGGCTCAAAAATCACTCCGAACTCGAGTGCAGCCACTAGTCTTCTAGATAGAAAATCTCGTCTCTCCCCTTACCTCTTCTACTTCGCTCTATTCAAGCCTGAGGATGTTCTGTTTAGGTTTTTGTGAAACCTTTGCTCTTCATCCTATGATATCATTTGTGTGCAACCTAGCCCGGTATACACCCGGGACGAGATGTCCTGGTACTCCTGGTTAATGGCCATGTCATATATCATCCGTATCCGATTCATCCTTAGTTTGAAAACCATGTCAAACGCTCCTAATCAACGCTAAGAAGTCTTTGGCGCCGCTGGAGTAGAAACGAGAAACGTCTATAAGGCTCTTTTGGGGGACTGCAGTAGCAGGTGCAATGAGTTGGTATGGAGAAAGAATGGAAATGAGATGTTCAGTTTCAGAGACGGAGTAGTATAAGTTCGAAATCTGAGAGAACGAAATTCCGAGGGGCTCTCGACCCGAGAATGAGTCGACGAGTTCGGGGAGGACGGAGGCCATACGTAGTCGACGGGTAGCAATTATATATCACAAGCCCAGCAAGAAGGCTACAGTGTCACCTTTTGGGATGGATCTGAATGCAAATTCAACAAGGTTACAACAGAAGGAGCTTGGAAACACACCATAAACCGGGCGCGCTCCCCACGATTCAACCTCTTTATCATACTACCCGTCTAGATATGGGCGGAACCCAACTGCCCTGCGTACTCTATCATCAAGAGAGTAGTAGAGAAGAGGAAATTCTAGAAAGGAGTGTGCCCGTCAAGTCTGAGAATAATCCTGTTCGTCGGGAGCACTCAACAGAGAGCACGGGCCTATGTCGGGATGAGAGACAGGAATACGAGAAGCCACAGTGGTAGGACCACAGAAAATTCGAGACTTGGCGTTGATCTTTGAAGGTCTTTCAATGTTCTAGCGTGACATCTGAACCTAGAACATGTAATTAGGCAACATGAGATCAGGAAGATTGAAAAGGTATGGACTATGGCTGCAAATTGGAGTGCTCCCGCAGTGGAAGGTAATCGTTTCTTTCCAATATGTACGGGATAACGAATGCGATCAGATTCCGAGTCTATATGGTTGTTTAGAGACTAAGGAGCTAAGATCGTCCATTATTTTGCCAGAAGGGTCCAAGAAGGCTCGACGAGGTTATCCCTGATATTGCTTCCGGTTGCTGTGCTATGTATTTTGGGCCAGTTTGTTGATTGTAAGATGGAAAAGATGAATCACTAGTAACGAAGCGCCCGAAGTTGAAAACGGCGCTTCTTTCTTAAATTCTTTCGTTTTTTTCCACCTCGGTGAAATTCAGGACTAAGGACGAAGAACATACACTAACATATACATCGAGGAGTCGACCTTACAGGACCAGGGGCAGTATTATTTCACATCATCATTCCAAAACCCTTCCGTCGCATCAAATCTTAAAAACTTATATAAGTAGGTCAGCGTGAATTTCGCTCTTCCCTTCTTTCCTTTCCTTTCCTTTATTCTTACTTTCGACCGTCAAACTCTCTGCTGGTCAGAGAATATTACGAGCATAGAACAGGCCCCAAGCCATGACTCGATTCATTTTGATTTTTGTCGCACTTGTTATTTCGACTATGACACTTACGCATGCCACACCAGTTCTCCGTCGTGCACCAACGGAAGCTCCATTCATTGAAGGAGTAAACTCAAAGAGTCAAATTTTGGGAACACACGATGCAAGTCTTCCTTATTTCAGACCGTTCGAATAATTAACGCCTTTATTTCCCTGTATCAGCGTCCATGGATCTTGGGGTTGTACGGCGCAGATCTCGATTACAAGCAAATGTCACTCTTCAGTAGGTGAATTCTATATTGCGTGCTTTTCCAAAGCTGAGTCCTTCCATTGTGTATCAGACACAAAATTTCACGGTGTAAAAATCGGCCAGGAAATAACGACCGAGTATCGCGAAGATCGTCGAACGCAGCTTGCCATTGTCAGCAGTGAAAAGGGCACTTTAGCAAAAGGCTTTTTGTACAAAGAGGACCGTGACAAATGGGAAGCCACTGCGGAATTAAAAGCTCTCGAAGCTACTTCAAAACAGACTGACGTTGCTGCGGGAACGATTAGCGATTGGCCAGTGCATGGTGCGAGGCGGTCTGTTATCCTGATGAAGAATGTAGAGGGAGAGGACCTCTTCGAATCGAATTGTTATGAGAAGGCCGCAAAGGATCCGAACAAGCTCGACAAGTTGAATAAGCAGCTTTACGCCGAATTGCACAATGTGGTTTACCAGTTTGCCAAGGAAAAGCAGATACTGCATGCGTATGTACATCTGCTATGGCCTCAACCTACCAAGTGAATCATTTTCAATTCTATCTAGTGACTTTCACACTGGCAATTTTCGCATCACCTTCAGTCGCATGAACTGCAAAATTAAACGTGTCACTCTCATTGACTGGGGCTATCCTGGTATTTTCGCTGTCAAGCGCGGCCTATCTCGGAAGGATTTCGTACGCTGAGGAAGCTAATGGACAATACCATGTATACTGACTTGTTTGGTACAGGACCCATGGTTTCTTGCACGCTACAAAAATCGCCTATACGATGAAGACCATGAAGCCAATTAGGTGCCTATGCGCGTAGAAGTGGGTAAAATTTTCGTCATTATTTTCACAGTAGCTTAACGTTTACAGTCTTGCAGAACTTTAAGAAGTACCGTTACTCGTGAACGGCATGGACCATGTTGTGGTGTCTTATGATGGAGCGGACATTTCGGTAGTGTAGGCCTATGTAACAGACTACAAAGACAGAACTCAGGATTGGACACGATACTGGGGTATTAAGGTGTAACATCTCTTTCTCGTATGGTCAGTCGATTTTCATGCGGATTACATGCGAGTCCTTCGAACCACGCGATACGGAGAGACGGAAAGAATTTCTGAGCTTACGAACACGCTTCCGAAGTCTTGATAGCTTGTGGTTTTCTGAGAAATTGGAGAAAGTACATGTTCTTTTGTATAATAGAGTGCAGGGGCTGTAGTTCATCTCTTAAACAAAATTCTAAGAAAAGTAAATAAAACAAAAACAAGTGTCCCTGCCAGGAGTCGAGCCTGGGTCTCCACGGATGCGCTGAGTTGCCACAACGTGATGATCTAACCACTAATCTACGGGGACCTTAAGACTGGCAAGAACCGCCGCACTACAAGCTTGCGCTTATCGATATCTGAGGCTAATATTCTTTCAGGTTGCGGTGCAGGATCAGGGATTAGTACCACAGAGGAGAGGCAATCAGAAGGTTGAAGCCCTGAGGGAGTAAGCAGGATTAGCGAAGTCATGAGAGGAAGCACGTTGGTTGATGTTACGACAAGAGTAAACAGTTCGCAGCAGCTCCTTTGAATGATAAGCACCGTCTGATATATCATGGGACAAGTTCTTGTTTTCGATGATACACAGGGACCACAACTTCAAGTCTTTCTGCTGCCCAAGAGCGCTCGATATCGTTTTTCATGAAGCGCTAGAAGATCAGTGCACTTGAGGAGAAGGTCAGCAAGAGTGTACTGTTGCGTCTCGGAGGATGATCGTAAACATCGACAACAGCTCCGTTCAGAGCATTAGGATATATGCGATGTTGGAGAGGGTACAGTTGACCGCAGAAAGTCTTTCGGTGAAGGTGAATGGGACGGGACGACTGCTGTGATTCCCTAATATGATGGGGGAGTTCTATTCCGTATTCGGCGTCCGAGTTTTCATCTGACGTGTTTGTTGGTAGAAACCTTGTGGAGCTTGATATGCGGAGACATGAGTAAGGAGAATCTGGATATCTAAAGTTCAAACGAGTAGATTAGAAGATAATCGAATCACAGTGAAGGGACGGACTACAAAAATCGAGTTTTGCCTTGTCCAATCGATTCTTGGAAAATGCCTTACGGTCCTCCTCAACGTCTAGCCAGGAGGATATTCTCTCTAGCGGCAGGACACATACAATCACTTGACGGGGTTACGGTGTCACGGCGGCTCCATATTGTGCTCGACCGGGGACGAAGGGCAGATTTTGAGGTGCGATCATCAAACACATGTGATGGCCATCGTAAATACGTAGATCCATCCTTGGAAGATATCATAGCGAATGAGGGAATTAGGAGCGACCGCTTTCAAATTTGCCTGAGTGAATAGAGGAGTCCGGGACACGAAGGTATCACAGGCAGGTCTTGCCTTGATACCGTCTGTTGGAGAGTAACAAATCGATGTCCTTCGTGCTAGACCCATTAGCATCCTTCCTAAAGACGAGCTCCTGTGACGAATGTACGTTCCAGAGGTATGATGCTGGAATAAGATTCCATGTCGCACGGGATAGTATTAGTCATCTGTGTAACAGTAGAAGAACGCACGCACCCCCTCGGACGCTAATGGGGTTCGGTAAACGTCAAAAAGATTCTTGCTGTGAACACCAAGCGATAATGTCAATGTAGCACGACATAGATTTAGGAAAAAATGGACAGATCCGGATTTGAACCGGAGACCTTTCGCAAGGTGTTATTGGATCCAGAATGCAAAGCGAACGTGATAACCCCTACACCATATGCCCATGTATTTGCTGCCAACCTCAGTGACTATATCAGTCTACTACCGAGAAATCAAAGCCCTCCAGACATGAAATATGTATCTAGCGATGATTGGTGAATGAGTGAACAAGTGAAATGTGATAGAGATATCAACACGTACCCTGGTGGACCAACAGATTGGGACGGGAAATTGTTTGGAGGTCGGGGTTTTCAACCGACGATTGCGAAAGGTTGCCTAAGCCAAAAATACTGTCTGTACCGCATATACGACCAAGTGTGACCATTGGCAACGTTAATAACGGTAATTCCAGTAACAATCGTTCTAAGAGATGTGATGTAAACTGCAGAGGACAAGCCAAAAAAGAGGAAACCCAACACCTCCAAACTGGTTCACCCGTGGGGACTACACGAATCTTATTGCCCATATTCAATTTTCCTGCATCGCAAACAAACAATCCAGAGGCTTCTCATCAACCGGGAATGATATGCGCAGACGAAATTCATGAATGAGCTGGTGAGGAGAAGGAAATATCGGAACGGATCCGAATTCTTTCGGCAAGTTCCTCGGTGTTTGAGGCTGATCTCAGCTCGGCGTATCTCTCTTCTCCTCAAACTTTCAAGAAAGCTTCGCATTGGTAGAATATTTTACCTGAATACATAAACCTTTATCGGCGTTTTCTACTTATCCTTCGGCCATTCACAAAGATGGGATCAAGGCTCCGGAATAATAACGTGTTTGTGACGCATCTGTTCTGGATAAAAACCCGCATGGTTGATTTACTTTTTTCTTTCTTTCTTTATAGCCACTCCGTCCCATGGCAAGATCCAGCCGTAGAATGCTCCTACCTTACGCTCTGCTTCTCTCCGGACTTTTCTGGCTTTCCGCTGCCGTATACACACCAATACGTGAATATTCTGGGACGGATTTCTTCTCAGAGTGGGACTACTATGGGTACATTGACAACACGACCTGGGGTGAGCCGCAGTGCGCTGTGGTTGTTTAGAATACCAATTTCTACTCAGGAAACGTTACATACGTTGATGAAAGCACTGGAACGTCGCAGGGATTGACGTATATTGATCCAAACACCGGACATGCGATAATCAAGGTAGATAATACGACGAACATTGCTGCTGCTCCAACGGTTAATAGGAATTCAGTACGTCAATCATTTTATCACTCCTTCATATCAGTACTCATTCTAGTTCTTGCAGGTCAAAATCACCTCAAAGGACGCCTATCCCATCGGTAGTCTCGTCGTAATTGACGTGTCGCACATTCCGTATGGTTGCTCAGTAAGGACTCACCTACCCTTCTATCATTCTTTCTAAGGATACCCAGGTCTGGCCTTCGTTCTGGATGCTTGGGACCGACCTTCTCTGGCCCCTCGCCGGTGAAATTGACATCATCGAGGCTATCAACAACCTCGGTTCAAACCAATACGCCCTCCATACTACTCCCGGATGTTACTTGGCGGCAAACTCGGTCCAAACTGGGAATACCATCGAAACAGATTGCTCGACGGGTCAAGGATGCTTGGTACAAGAAACAAAACCGAACAGCTTCGGAAGCGGGTTCGCTCAAGCGGGTGGTGGTGTTTTCGCTACGCAGCTAGATGTTAGCGGGATATATATGTGGTTTTGGCCGGTAAGCATCGTACCTTTATCTTATAATACTCCAGATTGAACTAATCAGCCCCGACGTTTGCTAACGTTCTCAGCGCTAGAGTCTTCCTGTATCAATATCACAAGCTGACAGCGCTTCGACCATGAACCTGACGGATTGGGGCACACCTACCGCTTCGTATCCCGCTAGCGCGTGTAATATCACGCAGTACTTCCAGCCCCAACAGCTCGTTCTTGATATAACTCTTTGTGGCGTGTGGTGGGTTCTTCGTATTTTTATCTCTTTTCCAGATCATCTGTTGACGACAGTTTGTGTCGACGATTACAGGGCAGGCGTGCCATCTATCTACAACTCGACAGGATGTTCAGGTCAATGTGTGAGTCTTCTATACGGTATCTTCTTTTGTCCGCTATTGTCATTGCCCCGGAAGTTCTGTTTGTCATCCCTCATATCCCAGTTCCTTTCGCATTCCGAATTCATGCATCCTCCAATTACTAATGACCCTTGTTTTCCGACCGTATTATTTAGATCGACAACGTCATTGGAACCGGAAACCCAATCTACAACGAGGCATATTGGGATATTACCTACATTCGAACGTACCTCGCCACCACGACTACTACCACCGATACTGCGGGAAACTCGACATCGTCTCTTTCTTTTTCATCGTCATTATCATCTGTTTCCACATCGACTTTGACGTTCTCTCCGAGTGTAAGTAGCACCGCTGGGTCCGGTACAAACACCGTTAATGCCAATTCAGCGGCGGGGGTTTTCGCCTTTACTGGTCGCTTGTCGTGGATACCTTGGTCAAGTGTTTCGATCTTGTTGTCGTTTGGTGCTCGGGTTTTTTGTTTATGATGCTCATGTTGGTACATGTCCTCACGTTTATGTCATGACGAACATTGTTTGGTACGCTCAAACTATAATGTATATATATCTTATGAACGGAGGTCATTATTGAATGAAAAAGACTAGGGCTCGATTCAGACGTTCCCGGCGAAAGCTGATGACCTTATTCAAGCTTTAGGTTGAGGTCTTTCGCCTCCCCAAGATACTGCTAATCCTTTCCTTTGAGCAGGGACTTTGGGCTCGCCTTTATTCTCTTTCTAAACCTTGCGATCATCATTGCAATGCTGCGGGTATATGCTTACACATCAATATCCCGTTACACTTTTGTTGTATTTAGCTCAACGAGCTATGGGTTGGCCGTGGGCTTGAACTCTATGATGGCGATTCGTGGGCGTACGAAGAACATTTCTCAAACCATTTTCGCTCATCCAAGATCAAGCTCAACCCACATTTCGGGATCTTCATGGTGACGCAGAATAACATTAGTTCGGTGTTCCACATACGCATCATCATCTACTCGAGTTCAAAACCCGAGCCGTTTTGTGATTTTGTGAGGTTATAGAGATGAATCTTCGACGTATTTTTCGGAACGGTACATGAATACTTCCAGGCTTTCACAAAGACAATGACAGTTTCTACAGAACAAAAAGACAGTACGAAGTAGAGAAGGGTCAAAAACTAAGCACCGGACAACCGCTTGTCCAGAGACCATACACGTTGTCCAACCCTCAAGAAGCTTGCTGGAGGCGTTACGAACTTTGGTAGTGGACCGGGTCCGTTTTCTTATGTCTTCGATGTCGAAAGTGCGAAGTTCAGATTGTGTGGAGTAAGAAAGGAAACAATTGTGCGTACAATATCGACGCGGCCCATAATATTCTTATCAATCTTTATTCTTCAAGTACAGTTCAGTTTCGAAGACTTTGGTCTTGGGCGCAGGTAGATTGATAGCTTGCACAGGCATACCAATCATCGGTAAAGGAATATCACCCTTGTAACTGGAGATTTGGCTGGAGATTCGGTTGAAGACATCGCTAAATCGGTATTTCTCGAGTTCATGCTCACGTCCCGCTTGGAAGAATTTCGTCATGTCGATAATTCTCAACTTGTGAGTCTCATCGACGGTGACACACTGGTTGGGGTCAAACAGACCCCAATCGTTAACGTTTTCAGCTATAGCAGTAAGTCGGCAATGTTTACAGAACTCAAATTTTCTGGAAGCTTACTGCAAGGCTCGGAGCCAACAATGACATGGCGCCCTAAAAGAAGATCATTATGAACTTTTGCTTGATGTTGATTAAGATATCATAGATACCTTGGTCGGTGGGGCCCATATCATTTTCCTGTATGAGTTGGCTGATTGAATTAATCTTGACATCAGAATCGCAAATATTCTTTTCAGCCTTCCGGAATTTGGAATCAGGATATTTCCTATTCAGCTTCTCGCCAGCGGTGAGCGAAAGGTAAAGGCTGGGAGGAAAACCGTTCTTTGAGTCCCTCCAGCGACATGCAAGGATCTGGTTTCCGCTGTCCGCTATAATCATGCAGCGATAAGTTCGGGCATGTCAGCGGAAGAGGAAGTTGGAAGACAAACTAATGCAGAGGTTGAATTTATTTCCAGCACGGTCCTTTCCAGGTTCGAAGGCCCCAACTTTGCGTTGATGCTGAATCCAGTGGATATCGTCAATGGTTCTGATAAGAGCACACAGCAGTGCGTCAGTCGAATCGGCGTCGAAGGGAATTTGCAAGTCGCCGGCCAGGGACTGTCGGCGCTGAAACCAGATTCCTGCCTTGACGAGATCGAGGTGAGCGAAGTAAAGGGTTGCCAGATGTTCGGTGTCAGTGTTGCCTCGTATATTAAACACATAGTTGGAGTTCGGGACAGACGAGGGTAAGTCAAGGGCTTGCATTACCATTTGTAATTCGGATATTCTGCTTATAATGTCGGATCGCTACCGAGCATGATCTTTTTAGCTCGAGTCATGGAAGAACAGAAAGAGGCCTACGAAGAGAGGAAAGTCAGCAACTTTCCCGTTGTGCATGAACGTGTATTTCCCGAAGATGAATGGATGATTGTTCACTTCCACAGAGGGAGGAAAACTGGCATTTCTAATGTGTGCCAAAATGCACTTGGATGCAGTATGCGCGCAAAGCTGTTCAAACGCAAGATCGGTGGAAATCGGCGCAATGGTCCTGAAATGGGCGGGCCGCATGCCTTTGACGGTGGTGGGATCCGGTGAGAACTCTTTGAATGTGTCGGTGTACCATCCTACTCCAAAACCATGGACATTGACCCACGTTGCCTCTGAGTCGTATGATAAGAAGAAGCAAAAAAAAAAAAGGAACTCAGAAAGTTAACTAACCTGTCTCAAGCTCTTCTTTGTCGTTATCTTCCAGTCCATAGCATAATCCAGGCAGAAAACGTTCATGGACTCTGAAAATGTCAGGCATCAGCAAAAAATGTGATATACCCATCGTTGACAAGAAACGTTAGCATACTGTTTGACGATCTGTAGGCCGATGTTAATGTTATATGTGGCTCAAAAC